CTGGGGGCCTTGGGTCAGGGGACTCCAACAGGGAAAGGTAACTACCTTAAATGCCATCCTAGAGCCTTCATCCATTAGCTGATGAAACACAGAAGCAGAGATCCACAACTAAGCACTAATCTGAACACCTGGAATCCAGTTGTAGAGAGGGAGGAATGATGAGCAAAAGGGTTAAGACCATGCTGGGGAAACCCACAGAAACAGCTGACCTGATCTAGTGGGAGCTCATGGACCCCAGTCTGACAGCTGGAGAACCAGCATAGGGACCCCTGAATGTGGGTGTCAGTTAGGAGGCCTGGGTAGTCTATGGGACCTCAGGCAGTGGAACCAGTATTTATTTCTAGTGCACGAATGGACTTTGGGAGCCCATTCCTTATGGAGGGATATTCTCTCAGCCTAGATACAGGGGGAGGGTCTAGGCCCTGCCCCAAATGATATGACAGGCTTTGATGATCTTCCCTGGGGAGTGGATGGGGCTTCGGTGCAGGGCATGGGAGAAAGAGGTACTGGGATTGATATGTAATATAAGATTGTTTCTGATTTAAATAAAAGAATCTATTAATAATTGACATTAAATAAGTTCTATCTAAACTATCCTCACATTTAATCATTCCATTTTCAAACTGTCCAGCATAATATCATACAGAGACCTAAATTCCTCAATTGTAATAATGTTTTCCATTTTTAATGTGGAAAAAACTGTCTCCTCCCTCTTTAAAAGCAACAACAAAAAATTTCCCTCCTTTAAGAGTCTCCAATTCTGTCATCAAATCTGCCAGTGAATATGGTGGAACTAAGGCTGCATAGCACAACTGATCAGAAAACACCATGATTATCACTTCAGTTTCTCTGAGCCCTTATTATTCCTGCTTAGTTGATTCTGTGTACCATGTTCCTCTGATTTCTTCAACCCCTGTGGATCTTACAATCCTTACCACCTCCTTCCACAGGATTCCTAGAGGTCAAGCTAATGTTTGGGAAGGGATCTCTGCATGTGCTCCCATAAGCTGCTGGGAGAAGCTTCTCTGATGACAATTTGACTAGGCACCAATCTATGAGTACAGCAGAATATATTTATGAATCTTTGCATTGATTATTTTCCTTGGTCAGTTGCATTTGGTCCTAGTTGTCTGAGCCATCCAAGTTCCAGTTCTTGACCATCTAGACAGTGTTAGGCATGGGCTTTCTTTCACAGCTTGGGCTTCAAGTTAGACCAATCATTGGTTGGCTACAAGGAACATACCAAAACATAAAATTGGAATGTAGAGCAAGCCAACAGCCACCATTATTCGAATTGAAGAGAAACTCAAAGTGATACCACTAAAGTCAGTAAGAAGACAAGGCTGTCCACTTTGTCCATACCTACTCAAATAGTACTTGAAGTTCTAGCTAGAACAATAAGACAAGAAAAGGAGATCAAAGTGATACAAATTGTAAAGGAACAAGATAAACTTTTAATATTTGCAGATGATATGATAGTATTCATAAGCGACCTGAAAATTTTTACTAGGAGCTCCTACAGTTGATAAACACCTTCAGTAATATGTCAGGATACAAGATTAACAACAACAACAAAAAGTCAGTATCTTCTATATACAGATGATAAACAGGCTGAGAGTGAAATAAAAGAAAAATCACCCTTTACAATAGCCACCAATACCATACTATCTTGGGGTAACTGTAACCAAATATATAAGACCTTCATGATAAGAAATTTAAAGTCTTTGAAGAAAAAAATTGAAGAAGACATCAGAAAATGAAAAGATCTCCCATGCTTTTGGATAGGGAAGATCAACGTAATAAAAACGGCAATCCTATCAAAAAAAATCTACAGATTCAATGCAGTCACCATCAAAATCCCAACACAATTCTTCACTAACCTTGAAAGAACAATACTCAAGTTGATATGGAAAATAAACAACAACAAAAAAATACCAAACCAGAATAGCTAACACAATCCTGTTCGATATAAAGAGACTTCTGGTGGCATCACCATTTCTGACTTCAGGCTCTGGTATAGAGCTATAATAATAAAAGCAATTTGGTATTGGCATCAAAATAGACATGTAGATTAATGGAATCAATTTGAAGACTCTGATTAATCTATACTCCTTTGAACACCTGATTTTTACAAAGAAGCAACAATTGTACAATGGAAAAAAAGCTTCTTCAACAAATGGTCCTGGCATAACTAAATGCTGACGTGAAGAAAAATGCAGACAGATCCAATCTATCCCCATGCACAAAAATTAAATCTAAATGGGTCAGAGACCTTAACATAAATCCAGTTACACCGTACCTGATAGAAGAGAAAGTGAGAAGTAGCCTTGAACACATGGCCAACATATGATGGGTGATCCTAAAAAGTTTTGTTTCTTAATTGGGATGGACACTAACAGGCTTGGACCACAGATGCAGCAAGTTTTACATGAAGTTGCTTCCAGGAACTAGCAATCACTTTTATTAATCCTTCCATAAATTGCAGGTTTAGCTGATGGAGTCTTACCCATAGGGCACCTTGCTAGGATTCCATTCCATAGCAAGGACTTTCTCCTTGAAAATTCCTGCCTGTTTCAACACTTGACTGCCATCTGAAACTACCTTTTCATTTATTTCTGCCCCACTTATTTTTGTTTTTTTACCATAGACTTGAACAAATCATCAATAATAACCATCCAACAGATTTAATATTCCATTTAAGAAATTAGGCCATTATTTTTAAATTATGTCTTACTAAATTTGCAGGGAATAGGGAGAATAAAAAAATATTTTAGAGCTAAAATATCACCCAAATGACTTCTAGTTTAATTTTTTAAGAAGACTATTTCCAACTGAAATCCTATGATATCAGTCTCCACTTTCTGCCATTACTCTCAACATTCCCATCTTCCTGGCCCTACAAGAAAAAACAGTTAAATTCTGTGTACAACTTTCTGTGTTTTCTCCTACCTAAAGTCTTGATAACTTCTTTATTCTTCCAAAAGACACCATCAGAAGAACATCAATAACCAAGATACCTCTTCCCATTTATTAGCTCTGCCTGCCATCCCTATCTATCCTTTCCAGCCATCCTATTGGCCATTCAGCTCTTTTTTAGATCAAGTATTTTAGACAGGCAAAGTATCATAGCTTCACAGAGTTAAACAAATGTCACATGAAAGAATGCAGCATGTCTTTGCATCATGAAAGCAAATGTTCCACAGCATAAGCAAATATAACCCATCTTAAAATAATATTCCAAAACATCGAGGGTTGAGACCATAAGATTTTGAGATACTTAAGCTATGAGACTTCTTCCATGGAGATCTAGCTGCATGTAAGGGGTGGAAGTGCCCAAAGAGAGATGCATGAGAATTAGCAGGGATAGGGCCTTTATACCTGAATCTCCTTGCATCTGAGACAGAGATGCGAGTTTTGATATTTGTCCTACTGTGCTTCAGTCTTGCCTTGGTCCAATCTTACCTCACTGTGTCTCCATTTCTCTGTTTTGGAATGTGCATGGTATTCTGTGCCATTGTATGTTGGGAAGAAGGAAAAAGATTTTATAAGATGTCACTCACAGTCAAGAGCTTACCTTGAGTGTCAGAAGATACTTTGGAGGTTTGAACAGTGTAGGGGCAGTTACAGACAATGAGGACTAAATGCACTTTCCTCGGCTGGGCGGTGGTAGTCCATGAGTTTGAGACCAGCCTGTTCCAGGGCAGTCTCTAAAGCCACAGAGAAAGCTTGCCTCAACTATCCCCTTAACCCTAATCCCCCCAACAAAAAAAAATGCTCTTTCCTCATGCTTGATTTAATGAAAACATTCCCAAAAAGGATGATGTATTTGAACATGTGTCTCTCCTTCGTGACTTTCTTTTGATTGCTTATGAAACCTTTCTTAGGGATCCTTTCTAGATGAAGTCCTGGAATTAAAGGTGGGTCAACATTCCTAACTATTCTTATTTTTATATTATTGGGTGCTGGGCCTGGAATGTAGGTTTTTGTCAAGCATATGTTGTTGTACTGAGCTTCACCCAAATTTTGAATTTTAATATTTGGTAGAGGGTATCAGTCTGTTTTCCAGGATGGTTTATATTCATGACATTAATACTACCTGAGCCTTCTGAGTCATTAGATTGGAGGTGCATGACCATCTTCTTACCTGTTGTGTTTGTTTTGAATTATATTTAATGAATGTGAGTATTTTACCTGTATGCATGGATATGCACTACATGGGTACCTGGTCCTCAAAGTGGTCTAAAGATGGTCTCAAAAATCCTGAATTTGGAATAATGGATGGTTGTGATCCCCCATGTAAGTACTGCAAGACCAGCAAGAGCTGTTTACTACTCAGCCATCTCTTCTGCCCTGTGTTGATTATTTATGATCAATATTAATATTGGTAATGTTTTCTTCTGTTCATTTGTAGCTGTTTAAACATGTAGTGCCTTTTAGTAAAATCTTATTGATGTTACAGTTTAAATTAGGGCACTACGGGTTCTTGGAAGATGAATGCAGAACTGGAGTGAACTTTAGTACATAACCTCTGAGTTATTTCTATCTTTTTTGTTTGTTTGACCAATTTTTGCATAGAAAATAGGATCTCAATATGTTCTTCCTGCTGTTCTGGACCTGATTGTATAGACAAGGCTGATCTACCTTCTAAGTGCTGGGGTTAAAGGTGTGAGCCAATACACCCAACTTGTACATCTTATTTTTCTGTTTTGTAGTTAGTAATTGTTCATATAATTTATCTCATGTGTACTCTGTACTGTTATCTATTTACTTGTCTCTATGTTTGTTAATAGACATTTCTCTTCCAAGGTGATATTTGATATAAAAGGTACAGAGATGACAGAGGTAAACCTTCTATTCAGTTTCCTTCTAAAGCAACTGGGTGATTACATTATAATGTCTAAGTGTGGGTAGCACCGGAAATATATGATTATACTGTCAAAGAAGTACATTTACAATGTTGTCAATATCATGTTTTCTGTTGCACACATGTGATATTTTAGAATGCAGTGACCTATGAGGATTTACATATTGACTTCACTTGGGAAGAGTGGACTTTAATGGATCCTTCTCAGAAGAATCTCTATAAAGATGTAATGCTGGAAACCTACAGGAACCTCACTGCTATAGGTAAGACTGAATTTTCCTTCATGTTTTAAATAAGAGGACAACTATTCCTTGGTTATTGATGTTCTTCCATAATTTGATTGAGAAAGAAGAATGAGGTAAATAAATTAGGCATGGTTCTAAGGTTCACTGAAGATGATACCTACATTTTGTACAATTTTCAATAATATACATGTTCTTGTACTACATTGTAGGATACAGTTGGAAAGACCATCATATTGAAGATTATCAAAGTTCTAGAAGATATGAAAGGTAATTTTCATGTGCAAGATGACACAAATATGCCTCTGATGAAATTGTAATGTGTCCTGGAAGTTTTAAACACAAGCAACATTATAAAAAAGCACAGCTTAAAGTGCATTGGTTATTAAATTCTCACACAGTCATATACCTCAAATTTAGGTAGGTAAATTACATTTGCATGGCATTCTTTTTAAAGAAGAATACAAGGAAACAATGCCTTAACAGGTATCATTTGAATCATAGCAGCATGAGAGCACTATGCTGTAGAACTTTTAATCCATATATTTCATACCACTCATATTACAAAAGGTATATGCATTGAAGAGTAAATCTCCAAAACCTTCTCATAACTAAATAGTCTATAGTACAGCTAGTATTAATCATATACTTGTTGTGACTGTGCTAAGCTTACTGAGGGGGCAGGTAGAATTAAGAGTCAAGGGGCAGTTGCTGTGTAGAAACCTTAATCCCTATATAACAAGTCTATGAGGAACAGAAAGTCAAAACATGAATTCCATGTGGAATTCTTCCTTTACTAGTATGTCATGTCAGTCTGGATACAAGCCATATGAGCATAGGAATATGGAAAATTATAACATGTCTCCCTCAGAACAATTAGAAGATATATCTCAGCCCCCACATTGAGTATACGTGTTTAATTTGATTCAAGTAGAAGTAATTGGTTGTCCAGTTTCATTGTTAATACATCAACAAACTCATACTACTGAAAGCCCTATGAGTAATAGGACTGTGTAAATGTAGTATGACTCACAGTATAGGAAAACTTAAGAATGCAATGAGAGTAGTAAAACTCTGAGTTTTTCCAGTTATTTTTAAATATGTGAGAAATCTCGTATGGAAAAAAGATTCTGTAAATGTGAGCATGTAATAAAGGATCTTACCACCACAGGTATCATCAAAGATGAAAAAAAAAAAAACCCTAAATGAAGGGGAAAAACATGAGTGTAAACACAGCAATAGAACTGTAAGATCTGAATCCTCTCAAACTGTAACATTAGTTCATACAGATATAAATATTCAACAAAGCATTGAATGTGGTAAAGCTTTTACATGTGCCAATCATTCTTGCAGGAATGAAAGAAGTCAAACTGGAGAGAAACCTTCTATATATACTCAAGGTGTTAAAACTTTTACATATGACACCCATCTTCAAAGGCATGAAAAAACTCATACTGGAGAGAAACCCTATAAATGTACTCAGTGTGGTAAAGCCTTTGCACGTGCCAGTCATCTGCAAATGCATGAAATGACACATACTGGAGAGAAACCCTATGAATGTAATCTGTGTGGCAAAGCGTTTTCATTACCCAGTTATCTGCAAATACATGGAAGGAGACATACTGGAGAGAAACCCTATGAATGTAATCAGTGTGGTAAAGCCTTTGCACATCACCAGAGTCTCCGACTACATAAAAGAACCCACACTGGAGAGAAACCCTATGAATGTAATCACTGTGGTAAAGCCTTTGCATTCCCCAGTCACCTACAAGTGCATGAAAGGACACATACTGGAGTGAAACCCTATGCATGTAATCACTGTTCTAAAGCCTTTGCTTCTCGCCGTGATCTTCAAAGACATAAAAGAATTCATACTGGAGAAAAACCCTATGAATGTAATCAGTGTGGTAAAGCCTTTGCTCGTAACGGTACTCTTCAAAGTCATAAAAGAACGCATACTGGAGAAAAACCCTATGAATGTAATCTGTGTGGTAAAACTTTTGCAAGTCACAGTACTCTTTATGTGCATAAAAGAACGCATACTGGAGAGAAACCCCATGAATGTAATCAGTGTGGTAAAGCCTTTGCAAGTCACAGTAGTCTTTATATGCATAAAAGAACGCATACTGGAGAGAAACCCCATGAATGTAAACTGTGTGGTAAAGCCTTTGCTTGTCACAGTGCTCTTCAAATGCATAAAAGAATCCATACTGGAGAGAAACCCTGTAAATGTAATCAGTGTGGTAAAGCCTTTGCTCGTTACAGTGCTCTTCAAATGCATAATAGAATCCATACTAGAGAGAAACCCTATGAATGTAATCAATGTGGTAAAGACTTCGCACGACTCAATCATCTGAAAATGCATAAAATGACACATACTGGAGAGAAACCCTATGAATGTAATCAGTGTGGTAAAGCATTTTCATTACCCAGTCATCTGCAAATACACGAAAGGAGACATGCTGGACAGAAACCATATGAATGTAATCAGTGTGGTAAAGCCTTTTCATACCCCAGTCACCTGCGATTGCATGAAAGGAGACATAGTGGAGAGAAACCCTATGAATGTAATCAGTGTGGTAAAGCCTTTGCACATCACCAGAGTCTCCGACTACATAAAAGAACCCACAATGGAGAGAAACCCTATGAATGTAATCAGTGTGGTAAAGCCTTTTCATACCCCAGTTACCTGCAAATGCATGAAAGGACACATACTGGAGAGAAACCTTATGAATGTAATCAGTGTTCTAAAGCCTTTGCTCATCGCAATGATCTGCAAAAGCATAAAAGAACCCATACTGGAGAGAAACCCCATGTATGTAATCAGTGTGGTAAAGCCTTTGCTCGTAATGGTACTCTTCAAAGTCATAAAAGAACGCATACTGGAGAAAAACCCTATGAATGCAATCTGTGTGGTAAAACCTTTGCAAGTCATAGTACTCTTTATATGCATAAAAGAACGCATACTGGAGAGAAACCCCATGAATGTAATCAGTGTGGTAAAGCCTTTGCTCGTCACAGTGCTCTTCAAATGCATAAAAGAATCCACACTGGAGAGAAACCTTATGTGTAACCAGTGTGGTAAAGACTTTGCACAGAAACCGGGCGTTCATGGTGCACGCCTTTAATCCCAGCACTTGGGGTGGGGAGCAGAGGCAGGCGGATCTCTGTGAGTTCAAGGACATCCTGGTCTATGGAGCAAGTTCTAGGACAGCCTCCAAAATAATACAGAGAAACTGTGTCTCGAAAAAAAACCAAAAAAAAAAAAAAGACTTTGCACGGCCCAGTCATTTGCAAATGCATGAAATGACACATACTGGGGAGAAGCCCTATGAATGTAATCAGTGTGGTAAAGCCTTTTCATTACCTAGTCATCTGTAAGTACATGAAAGGACACATACTGGAGTGAAACCCTACGAATGTAATTAATGTTCTAAAGCCTTTGCTTTTATAACATCTTCAAAGTTATAAAAGAACCCATACTGTAGAAAAACTATGAATGTAATCAGTAGTCTTCAAAAATCATGAGAGAATACCATCCTGCAGAGAAACTATATAAATGTCATCAGTGTGGCAAAGTTTTGCACTTTATACATAAATAAAACTTTTTGTGCGAAATCAATCTGTTAATGCCTTTGCATATTACAGTAATCTTAGGGTACTGGTAAAAAATACTGAGGGCTCCTTATAAAGAATTTTGTAAGATCTTTTGCCAACACACTTACATTCAGTTAAACAAGTGTGTTTATTATGTAGAAAATAATTTGACAGTGTCAGCAATCTGGTCAAACATTAAGATGACTATATTGTTTGCATGAGCAAGCTCATGGGAAAAAATTAACTTAAGAATTTATGAATCTCTATGTAGGGTAAAAGAGCCAGCCAAAGAAGCACACTGTTTCTAAAATCAGAGCAAGTGAAAGACACAAACTTTGGCCCTGAATCCACAGCCAGTGAAAGAAAAACTCTGGCTCTGAAACCAGATCCAAAAGGTTAAAAAGGACCACTGAAAGAAACACACTTTGGCCTTGAAACCAGAGCCAAAGAAACAGTCTACCCTTGACAAACTGATCACAAAACCAACCTGTTCCTGAGCTTGAAACCAATCATTCCCTGATAATGAAATACAGCCAATCCCTCAGGTTATTTTAGGTCAGTGATTGAAATGCCACCAATTCCCACCCTGAAAATCTCCAAGGAAAAACTCTGCCCATAGGAAGCCCTATATAAAAGCCCTGTGCCTGTTCAGTGGCAGATGTCCTTTTCCACCCTGACAGAGGTAGTCACTCTCCTGGATTCCTCCCTCCCAAATAAACCTCTTGAATGAGAGTTTGGGATGAAGACTCTTTCACCAGACTAGAGCAGAAATTCCATAGTGGAGTGGAGCACAGAAGAAATGGACACCTCCGCTGGGAAACTCCCTTAGGGAGTGAAACAGAAGTAACCACTTTTCCCTGGAGCAGGAGCAGACTGCTGCATTTCTGCAGTGGTTTCCCTCTTAGTTGAGTGAAGCAGAAGAGTACCAATTTGGACTGGAGCTGAGAAGAAATGGACATCTTTGTTGGGAAACTCTCTAGTGCAGTGGAGCAGAGAAACAATGGACACTTCTGCTGGAAAACTCTGTTAGCAGGGTGGATTGAAGCCCAGGATACCTTCCCTTAATAGCTGTGAGTATGGCCTGATTTCTGACAGTCAGGATACATTTTTCTTCAGAGTTCTAGATATCCAGGATATCTTCCCTCCAGAGTTTGGTATAGCGTGACTTTCCAACAGTCAGGATTTGTTTCGCTTGACAGTTGTAGGTAACCAGGATACGTTTTCTTCATGGCTGTAGATATAGCCTGACCTCCAACAGTCAGGATACCTTTCTCTTCATAGCTGTAGGTGTCTAGGATACCTTACCTCCACAGCTTCAGGTATAGCCTGACTTTCTAACATTGTACCTTTCTCTTAATCATTGTATGTACTGTCCCTTTACATTTGTAGGTAAAGCTTAACTTCTGATAGTCAGGGTATCACTTCCCCTTCCCCCCCATAAAATACTGAATTTACATGATAATGTAACCCTTTTAGATTTTATACTTCAATTACATTAAATAACTAATTCAGATATAAAACTTTATGGGTTTGACTTAGTTCCTTTTCTGTTGTTTTGATATAATGCCTGTCAAGTTATAAAATAGTTTAATTTGACCTTTGGTTCCAGAGGGATACAGGATCACCATGAGAGTGGCATGGCAACAAGTGTCAGACATGGCAGCTAAAGCAGGAAGCTAAGAACTCACATCTTTAACCTGCAGTATACAGCAGAGAGTGGGAACTGGAAATGTTGTGTGGATGTAAATTCTCAAAGCCTATATTCCCAGTGACATATTTCCTTCAGCAGTGCAACATTTCCTAAATCTTCTCTGGTGATACCAGTAACTTAGAAGGATTGATTTCTCCGGCTTCAAGTGTACATGCTTACTTTCTGTTACATGAACCAATTTATGATGAAGAAAAACTCTGTATGTAAGCCTTTAGGTGCCTCAACAGCTGTGTTATTGGAATAAATGCTTGCAAGAGAAAAACTTTCATGTGTGAAAGTTTGTTTAAAGAGGTGTTTTAATTATGTGATGTTTGTGTTTGTGTGGGTATGTGAATGCACATGCAGGTTCCTGGGAATGTTAGACCCTTAGATCTTCTTGTAGCCTGTATTACAAAGAAGTTGTCAAAAGTCAGATCTTGGTCCTGAGAATGAACATATAACTGCCCATCCATGTCTCTAGCACTGTAAATATTTTAAAGCCTATTTGTATAATTTTGAGGTCATGAAATAGGGACAAACTCATGCAAGAGAAAAACCCTATTCATGTAAAGGATTTAGTAAAGACTTCAGACATCACAGTTGTCTTTAGCTTCAAGAAAAGAAATATCTTGTTTCATTTGTTTTTCATGGTAGCCTTGAAGGAAGTAAGGTAAGTGTGTCTTTGAAAGTTGGTGAATTGTTCCTGGTTTTGTTTTTCATATTTTCAGAAATTCCTTTGAGATTTTGAGGTTTGTTATTCAGTCTGGCTTGGATTTCCATAATGATTGAGGGATCCATTTGAACTCAATGATCCTCATGTGTCAGCCTCCTGAGTACAAGTTCAAGGGTAGATGATATACTGAACCCAATGTGTACTGTTTTGTCAACACAATTTAAAAATGTTAATGTTAAATTTCTTAATTTAAGATAATAGAAGACATTAAATACCTCATGTGTGTATTCAAAGCAGTGTTTTCATTTATTTGATAGAGATGTGATAAAGTAGGATAATCAGCAATCAACTGTATATCTTATACATATGGATATATTCATATATATCTGATGTTTCATGTTTTCCCCTTCCCCATTAGTTATCCATTCTGCATTTCATCTTGAAGTACTGCCTTCTAAGGGCATTATTTAGAGATCCCACATAGTACAATGGCACTAAAGTTTATTTTCTTACAAAGGTTTATGGTGTGTGTGTGTGTAATGTGATTATTGGTTTGTAGGCCATGGCAGATATGTGGAGACCAGAACACAGCTTTGTGGTGTCTACTTTGGAACCTCTTAATATGGTGATCAAGGTTGGGTTTCCAGCCTTGCGCAACACAGACCTCTTCCACTGAGCCATTTTACTGGTAGTATAAATATTACAACAGTAAACTATTTTCTTATTTTGAGATTATAAACATATTTTTGTATAAGGATAGTGGAACACAGGACAATTTGAACAATAAATCCTTTTTGCACATGAAAACATCTATACTACCATTCTTTTTAAATTTTTTTTATTTTTGGAACTAAATATTTGTTTATAACACTTTCGCAGGACTACAAAGGAATGTCAGACAATTGCCTCATTCAGTAAAGTTGGTTGCTGCTAAGTATGATGACCTGAGCTCTATTTCTGCATGACCCATATTATTCCTGCAAATTTTTCTCTTATTTCTACACTTGGGAAGTGCCATCTGAATACTCCTAAGTCAGCACATACATAAATAGTTGTTAAAGCTACATAAGTGCCATCGAAGTCACTTGTAGCCAAATGACTCCTAGAGTTTCATCACTAGAACTCACATAGGGGAAGTAGATAATACACACCTGAACGTTATCCTCTCAGTGCCACATACATACACATGAATGAAATTAACAAAGCAAAGAAAAAAGCCTAATTATTCGGAACATATGAAATGATTTACCCTTTTAAATTATAGAATTTGAAAAAATGTCTCAGCTGGACTTAGAGATGCATAGCTGCACTTGGGAGAGAGTGTCCGGCCAATCTCTGTGAGTCTGAGGCCCGGGCCTATATTTATCGAGAAACGCATGTCCCCAAGGCCACCGAGAGCGCAGCATCTGTCTGCCTCTTGAAAAAAGTTTTGCCCCCTTTGCTAAGGGATTCCCTCCTTTAATTTCCTATTTTTAAGCTCCAAGCTAGGACAGCTAGAGAGTACAAACTCCAGGAGAGGGCCATATTGTTTTTGAAAGCCTTTTGTCTTGGGGTTTTTGTGGTTCCGTTGCAAGTCGTTCCCGCACACCTGTCCCTCCTACTTCAGCCACTCTTGGCGTTTCTGGTACCACCTGTGCACTGTGGCGTGGGCCACAGCTCCTCGCAGCCCCTTTTGTCCTGCAGTGGGCCCTGTAAGAAGTCCTCCTGGTGGGGCTCGGGGTAGTGGGGGCTGGGGAGATGAACGATGCGGCCAGACATCACCAAAGCCATGCTATATGAAAAGTTCAGTCCTGCGGGGCCTGTGCTGTCCATCTGGGTCTGCCGTGACATGATCACCCGCCGATCTCTGGGTTATGCCTGCGTCAACTTCCAGCGGTCTGCTGACGCTGAGAGAGCCTTGGACACCATGAACTTTGATGTGATTAAGGGAAAGCCAATCCAGATCATGTGGTTTCAGAGGGATCCCTCTTTGAGAAAGTCTGGTGTAGGGAATGTCATCATCAAGAACCTGGTCAAATCTATAGACAACAAAGCACTTTATGATACGTTTTCAGCCTTTGGAAACATCCTGTCCTGTAAGGTGGTTGTGATGAGAATGGTTCGAGACCCAAGAGGCTGCCGACAAGGCCTTCGAGAAGTTGAATGGCATGCTTCTCAATGATCGCAAAGTGTTTGTGGACAGATTCAAGTCTTGCAAAGAGCGGGAGGCTGAGCTAGGGCCAAGGCCAAGGAGTTCACCAATGTTTAATCAAGAACTTTGGGGAGGAGGTGGATGACAATCATCTGAAAGAGCTCTTCAGCCAGTTTGGTAAAACTCTGAATGTCAAGGTGATGAGAGATCTCAGTGGGAAATCCAAAGGCTTTGGCTTTGTAAGTTATGAAAAACACGAGGATGCCAATGAGGCTGTGGAAGAAATGAATGGAAAAGAAATGAGTGGGAAAGCAATATTCGTAGGCCGTGCACAGAAAAAGGTAGAGCAGCAGGCTGAAGTAAAACAGAAATTTGAGCCGGGCGTTGGTGGCGCACGCCTTTAATCCCAGCTCCCGGGAGGCAGAGGCAGGCGGATCTCCGCGAGTTCGAGGCCAGCCTGGTCTCCGTAGTGAGTTCCAGGACAGCCTCCAAAGCCACAGGGAAACCCTGTCTCGTAAAACTAAAAAAAAA